GGACCACGTGGAGGGGTGCGTTACTCTGCCCTCTCCCGGGTCATTAATGAAGATGTTAAACAGCCCTAGCAGCAGTATCGACCCGCGGGAAGAAACATCACTGGCTACCAGCTGGACTTTGACCTACGGACCACCGCTCTCCAACCCCGGCTGCCCAACTGGCTTTCCAGCCACCTCGCGCTCTGCCGAGCCAGTCCATATCTCCCCAGTTTGGCTACTGGATACTACGGGGAGACAGTGTCAAAAGCTATACTGAAACCAAGGTAGGTAGCGTCCTCTGCTCTCCTTTGCCCACCGAGCCGTCGTCTCATGAGAGAAAGCCACCAGGCTGGTGGGCACAATGGACAAATCCCAAACACTTCCTTGTGCTTCGTGTGCCTGGAAATGGCTTCCAGGAGGATTTGCTTATAAAGTAGTTATTTATTTTCTAATCTATCCTGTTTTCTTTAGTTCTATTTAGAAATCACGCAGGTAAAATACAACCTTTTTATGAAAAATGTGTTTGCAGCTACCCTTCTAATATTAAATAGGAGGTGCCTGTTCGCAAACACCCAGTGGCCGTGACAAGCGGTTGGCTGGTTGCACACACAGCATGACTTGCACAAGCAGTTCTTTTTTTAACTCTGGTGCTGGCTCAAATCTCCTGGTGACTTCTTCAGTAAAACTCAAGTTTCTCAGCTTTTGTTTGCAGTTCCATTACTCTCCAAGAATTGACATCTTCCATTTTCATTGACACATATCTAATATAGTTGACCATTTCAAATACTGAAGAGGAAATCTAACAGAGAAATGGTCTTAATCCAACCACTCACTGTTATATGACTTCTTCCTCTTGTTTTTCTTCTGGTTTTTATGTACATGCATTTTGTAATTTATATGACCCACTGTATTCACCATATTTAAGTATTATTTCATTTATGTATTACTTAAAATTATATACCCAATTTATTATAATAATTGTACTTACGCATCTCTATTAATGTGGTTAATGTATTTATGTAATCTGTATTTATGGAGTTTCTAGTCAGGCCAGATTTCCATCTGTAACACTATTCCCTTTTCTTTTATTGTAGATACCACTGTTAACTTTGTGCATTTTCATTTCAGTTTTAAATGAGCTCTTCTAAACCCAGTTTAGAAATAAGGAAATTTAATTTAAATCATCCACTTAAGTCACTTAGCTTCCTTACCTTGCCTAATATACCTGGCCCTGTTGAATCTAGGTCAGCAGATTATGCACAGATTACGGTCCGCATTAAAACCTGCCAGGCCCTCCCCCTCCATTTGAAACTTAGCTTTCTCTTCCCTTAACCATCATTTTCCCTGTCTAGTCTGCAACATGCAAGTTCTGACACATTTCTTGGACCCTGCTGGGATTAAAATAGCACATGGTGATACTCTGCCATCCCCTGGCTGGTCCCTTTCAGCTGACTTGTACTTTGCTCAGCTCTGCCATGCGCCAGGGGCACGGCCTTCTCTTGTCCTCCTATATGTGAATCTGTGGGCCTGATTTTACAATCATCTTCTTCACTTTATATGGCCTTTCATGTGCAAAACAGTGCTGAATTCAGCAGAATTTTAGGTTTCCCTTCCAGCGATGCACCTGAACAAACAGGGTGTAATATAAGAGAGTAGAAGATCACTTGAAATCCTTGGCCTCAACGTCATTAGCTTTCTCTTCAGCTTTCCACACTGCTGAATATAAAATCCTACATTTAGGCAGACTTGATTCTACCTTTTATACAAGGTGAAGCCCGGTTCTCCGCCTGTGGGTGTCTCCTGGCTGACAGCAAACGCAGCCCCCGGGCGCTCCCACGGCCCGCCAGCCCTCCGGCTCCCCTGCGCCCTTCGCCTTTCCGCCAGCTGGGAGGTGCTGGGGACACTTTCAAGTCCTGCTTCTTTGCGCAGTCACCTTACTTTCTGGAAACTTGCAGGAACTGAAGGGGTTGAGCCTTGCTGTCGCAGCTGGCTGGTTGCAGGGACTGGTGAGGACAAGCGCCGCACGCTCCGTTTCGGAGACGGGCCCGTCCAAGAGCCCAGCGGTGCCTCAGCCCTCTCACCCTTGCAACAGCGTCAGCACAGGCGCTGCTTTTGCCCTGTGCTCACGTATATGGACACACACACACACACACACGGTGCCATTGCGTTAGAAAAGACCAACAAAATACAGGAATGAAAGATCATTAAGGCTCTTAGCGGTCCCACCTGGGACACGGCTGGTCTTGGATGAGCTGCTCACCAAGCGCAGGGTTAAGCGCATGTCTCTAAAAGTATCAGAGCTGTCGGCTGCAAAGCAAGTGGAAGTGGCAGGTAAATTACACCCAGGTGATCGCAGCTCTGCCTCTTTATATACCTGTGTGGCAAAACTATCTTTTATTATACAATATTTTTTCTTCTTCCCCATCTTTCTTCTGGTTTTGCTGGCGGTATGCTGTGAAAGAGGCAGGGGTATTCAGAAAAAAAGATACGGACGTCTTCTGTATCTGAATTAGCACTATCAGAGATCACATAAAAACGTTCCCCGTAGAAAAAAGAGACAAAAATAATGGTCTTAAATTGCCCAGCTGTGAAACATGGCAAATCTGCAGGTAACAGAGTTAATTCTACCACACGCCTTCCCGCTGCAATCATATATATCTGAACAGATGGATACAGGTTGTAACGGGAGAATTGTACTCAGTATTTGCAGGTTAATTTTAAAAAAGGAAAAAAAAAAACCCATAGAGAAACAACTTCTCTTTAGCTTTATCTGCCTTGATAACAGCTATCACACTTAATATATATCACAAGCATTAAAGGCACTCTACAAAATGCATAACTCCCTGCAGATCTACTAAGGTATTCAAGAGAAAGTAGAAGGACATTTGATAGGAACTAACTTTTTTGTTGCCAGTGTGAACACTGAACTTTATCAACATTGTTTATAAAGAACAGTATCTGCTGCAGATTGATAACTGTGAGAAGGTGCTTTCATTGGTATAGGAAGCAATCTCCTTGACCTTCAGGAGAGAAGAAGGTATAAAAACCAAAGTATTTCTCTTGGCCAACTGTTTGTGCAGCTGTTGAATTTCTTAGTCTCTGAGGAAGACGTCTTTTGGGGAAATTTTGTGAGAAAATGGCAACCTTAAGTGAGAAAAAGACCTGCAGCGAACGGATGGAAAATTTCCGTCGATTTGTCTGGAATCCAGAAACAAAGCAGTTTATGGGAAGGACCTTAATTAACTGGGGTATGTTTTCACACACAAGAGTCTTCTCTTCCTTCTGGTATGCTTACATATCTTGAGGGGGGTGGGTCCTCCTTATGAGTGGGATATGATGTGGGGATAGATTTTTCATAATTATTGAAATTAATTCACCCTGTTTTCATATATGCTTCTGCATCACCTCTAGAGCTGATGAGATATGTTGTTAAAGCAGAAGTCTGTGTGCTACTCTGCTGTTGGGGTGAAATTACAAAAGATGACTTCACATTTCAAAACTGTTTCAGAAAAAAACAGGTTTTAGAGACCAGTTTAGGGGTCCCATATAATCTAGACAACAAGACAAGAAGTAAAGCTCCTTTAAATTGAATAAATTAGATCAAAACATTGATATGCATAGTTCCTACAAGTGTACGAATATTTTAAAACAATTCTGGTCCAAATATTTCAAAAGGACAAAATTTAACACATTAAGGTGTTAGTTACTTTGTGAATAGCTAAGGAGTTTGGTTATAACATGTTCCTAGCATTATTGACTATAGCGAGTTCTGGTGTACGGAGAATTTTACTTAATTTTTACTTGGCGGGTTTACGTTACTCAGGACTGCAGAAATCAGGCCTCATTGTATTTATGCGAAGGCAGCAGCAGCCTGATGCAGAAGTCTGTATTTGTGCTTTTCCTCTTTAGACCTAGCTGGGAAAGTGTGGGACAATAATTTTTGTGCAGTTCTCTGGAGATACATTACGCCTTTCCAAGATTCCTTTTCTAACTTACTGTCTGTTTCACACATCTTCTCTTTTATCGTAGCACACTAATGCATATTTCAGCTGAACCTCGCTGTCCATAGCCAAACTTGTGTCTACATCAGCAATGTGCTTTATGATCTATATTCCGGATAGTGCAGCTCTGTATATTTTAAAGACGGTCCCTGCTCTTCCCACCCATCGTAATGGTAGCTGCAGGTTTCTAGAAGGAATTTTTCTCACGTGAAACCTGCTGGCGGACCTTATTGGCCATTCTGAAAATTCAAATTTTACAGAAGATCAAACTGAAATGGAACCTTTCTCCTCCTGAGAGAGGAGAAGGTCCAAAGAGGTGCCGATAACTGCACAAAGTGGTTTCTGCCTTGCAATGCACTGCCCACCCACAGCCCTTCCTCTACGGCACCAAAAGTGTATAAGACACGTTATGCATATATATAAAGAAAAGGAGCGTTATTCTAAGTCTCATACGAGGAGGGTAATATAGCAAGAGGATGTGTTTTGCTGAAGGCGATTTCAGATGTAAAAGGCAATGAAGTGATACAGGTCTAAAATCAACACTCCTGATAGGAGTGACCCAAATAAGGCCAAGTGGCAGCCTGTTTTTTGTCCGTGAAATACGTTAGCTGTTTTGCTTAACTCGTGCAATGAGCAGATAAATGGTCTTAATGTATGAAGTTAGTTCAAGAAGCTTCACAGTCTCTTAAACTTTAAATAAGCTGGGCTAAGCACCAACTACCCCAAAAAACCTTTTTTTGTTTGTTTGTTTAATGTGACACCATCAGCTGCTGCAGTCAAACTGAAAGATGTGGTCAGCAAACAAGGGCTGAAAATTTTGTCCCAGCCCTTCACGTCCTTTCTTGTAAAATCAAACAAATCTACGGCCGATTTTTTTCTACAAGAACATTCTTTTGAATCTAGAGAAAAAGACAGGAAAACGCCAGCCCCGGCGCCCAGCTCCACTCGCCCCCCCCCAGGCGCCAGCCCAGGCAGCAGCCGTGGGGCCGCACTGCCCTCCCCGACCCCCTCTGCCCTTCCGCCCCTTCACGGGGAGACGGTCCTTTGGGGGCAAGGGCAGAAAAGCAAAGGCCGCTGCCAAAAAGGGGGCCCAGCCACAGAGGGGGGTCAGCCTAAACCGAGGTTTTTTAACCTCCGCTTCATCCGCAGTGTGGATCAGCCTGTATTACCTTGCTTTCTACGTGGTGATGACTGGGTTGTTCTCACTTGCCTTGTACTCTTTAATGCGGACGCTCAATCCGTACGAGCCGGATTATCAAGACCAACTGAAATCCCCAGGTATTGCTGCCGGCGGGGCGTCGAAACCTCCCCGCTTTCCGTGGCGCGTTTGGGCTGGGAGGCGTTGGGAGCGCCCGGGGGCCGGGAAAGGCAAGCGCGGAATAAACGGAGCCGATTCTGCCCGAACGATCCCCGCACGGATTAACCTCGGCGTGAAAACACTGAGGTTTGGGTTCTGAAAACATGGGTGCGTTGGTTTTATCCATTTACCTGGTGCCGTTGAGAGGACGGGGCCTGACTGCAGCGCCGTCCGCACCCCTGCCCGGGGGCAGGCAAAATAATTCCTGTAAAATATCGAGCCTGGCTTTTTCCAAAGCCATCTCTCATAGCGCAGTATGTCCTATTTCTTCAGCCTGATGCGGTTATTCTGTTGTTTTGTTCACATTATTTTGCAAGCTATGCTGATAATAACACAGATATCCACGAAAAGACGTGAGTTTAGAAATAGCACGGATTTTCAGTCAAATAACGCACAGCCGAGGCGGCTTCTGTACATGGTTAAATCCTTGCTAACAAAGCCTGGGAATCAGGTACTTTATGCAGTCTTTATGCAGTGTAGTAGCTATTGTTGGCTTAAAGAAATTAAGCTATGCCTGGCCCTTCTTTCCTGCCTTCCCTTCACTTTTCTTTTCTTATGAAGGTGTAACATTACGACCGGATGTTTACGGGGAGAGAGGATTAGAAATCTATTACAATATATCTGACAATAAAACCTGGGATGGGTTCGTGACAACTCTTCAGACTTTTCTAACAGGTAAAAAAAAGTAACGAGTTTTCCAGCATAATACTGAACAGACCTGCTGTCACACCTCCCTTTTTTCGGTCTGAAGACCTTAAATCAGAGAATCAGTGTTTCCATTTTCTATCTGTCCTCCTGAAATTACAGATTTTGAGCGGATAATACCTCTTTTGAAAAGGTACCAGCAAATCCAACAAATGTAAATATAGCTATTAAAAGCAGAGTCCTGCTTCAGAGCTTTTTCTTCTTTTTATCCTGAGCAGTCTTCATAAAATAGAGGCATTTTGAAGGAACAGGGGAAGGAAAAAGGTATTTAAAACTAATCTTACCTAAACTAACCTAATATTGTCTGTGACTGCAAATATCAAAGTGCTATATCTCTTGTGAAGCCATTGCATACTGTCACCAAAGGGTAGGGCCAAAAGAGCTTAGTCGCTCTATTGACCTGTTCAATATCTTAATACTTTTGCGTCTCTTGGGAGGCTTGATGTCACACTTCTGTGTTTCTAATGCACATATTGAGAAAAGTTATACCCGAAATGAACTTTATATGGAGCTAGCAACACAAATTGCCAGCCTTAACTCAATTTGACCTTTTTTGGGGGCCTAGGTATTCTAAAATAATTAAATTTGTATTTTCCTCGTTCCATCTAATCTCATTTTCTCTTGAAGCAAAGTCTGCTGTGATATAACCTCCAACATGAATTTTTCTTTCTTCCTTCACACATCTAGCGTATACACCAGCTGCTCAGCATCTCAACATCAACTGCACAAGTGACACTTACTTCATCCAAGACACCTTTGATGGCCCAAACAAAACAAAACTATCTTGCAAATTTACATCAGATATGCTTCAAAACTGCTCTGGCCTCACAGACCCTACTTTTGGATTTCCGGAGGGAAAACCCTGTTTAATTATAAAAATGAACAGGGTAAGTACAATCTCAAGCGCTGAACAGGAAAGGATTCCTCAAGAAACATCAGATAGCATAATTCTCATTTGAGCACTTGCTATATAATCTATGACCACAAATATTAAACTCTGCTTTGTACTGGAAAGGCAAATACTGTGCTTTTTCTGAGAGACCTGCCGAATGACTAGAGAAATAGTGAGATTTTTTTCACCGCATCTAGGAAAGTAACAGAGGGCAAAGTGGTTCCTAAGCAGACTCTTTAAACCTTTAGTTCTTGTTTAGTTTTGTTAGCATGGCCACAGTGCTATTATCTGACAAACTAGCATGTAAAACAGTTTATCTTCTGCAATTTCAGGATCCTGTGCCTGCAGTTAAAGAGTTAGGATGTGACTGTAAATGAAGTGATTTCAGAGATGCGATGCTTGCACATCTTACTTCTCCAGGCTGCACAAAAAGTCGTTTGCGGAACTTGTAAAAATAAAATTTAAGACTAGTGGACATTTCTTCAGTAAAAACCACAAACACGTTCTGTGAAGAGTGAAAAGGAAATCTTTTGTGCTTCTTTTACATTTTTCAGGACATAGAAAAAGGGATGAGTGTTTTGTTTTTGTGTTCAGTTAAGAGCCTGAGCCTTCTAATTCAGTTTCAGTACTAATTCAGTCAAATGAAAAGAGTTCATAATCCTCACCAGTTACTGACAGACGAAATTACTCATTTTTAGTTTAGTTTGCGCTCTAGCCTCTGTTGACGAGCATTTTCAAGAATCTGTGCAAGAACCAGCTCTGAGAGGAGAGACGTGCACCTGATTTTTGCAGGTCAAATGCAGACTTTCCCCCAAAAGAGTCTTTGCTTTCTTCCGCAAGGCTGTGTGCCAGCCCCAGAAAGAAAAAAGGCACGTTTATATTGCCTCGCGGGCCCTACTCCCTTTTGTCTTTGCTGCTACAGAACGCGGTCCTGATACTTTTCTAGGATAAAACGGGCACAAGAGTTTCTGCCAATGCCACAGCTTTCTAATACCACATACAATGAAAAGCATAGGAGATACAGCTTTTCCTTTTTTTTTTCGCATGCAGCTAGCTGCTTTAACAGACACCCACTGCTTGTGCACCAGGAACAACCACCGTCACACACAGGCAAGTAAGTGGGACTTGGGAGTAGGTGCAGCGCTATCAGCCCTGGACAGAAGTGAGCACGTCTGCATTTCCCATCCAGGACAGTGCAGAGTCCTGCTCGGCAAATATCCAGCCACATGACATGTCTTTTCCTCCCAGCTACGTAAGATGAAGTGATCTGTTGGACAGTGCCTTACAAAGCAACACATTAAGTAGCACCTGAACCTATGTTACACCTTTGCTCGGTTTTGCCTCAAACCAATTTCCAAGATGAGTAATGTGTGTTTTCTACTTCAGATTATCAAATTTTACCCCGGCAATGGCACCGCACCAAGAGTGGACTGCACATATGTAGTAAGTATATGTAGTAACTATGTAAGGGATCTAAGTTTCAAAGATTTCAAGCACTGCAACAGTGACAGCAAAGTGCAGTTGTGATCAGAGAGATTACCTTGCACCTCTGGAAGTCAGATTATTCTGGCAAAATGCAGTAGGATTAGTCTTAATTCTGTGCACCCTTTTGCACCACTAAACATCCTAAGAACCAAAAATGTGGTTCATTATAAATCACTTGAAAAACTGCTTTTCTGTGCTGCAGAAATTATAATAGTGAAATATATTTCCTTTAATAAGACATTTGCTCTTTGTTTTCTGTTCCTGATTGGGAAGTTCATAAAGAAGAGCAACTCCTTCAGGCTTTCTGTCAATTTCAGCCAATTCTAATTCGTTGAATTCATTGTTGCCATATGAACACTTGGCTGTTTTTCTTGGCAATAGTAACAGCAGGGGATTTCCATTTTTATTTGAAAAATAAAAACAAGGCTGGTGCTAAATAGACTGCTGAGTTTTAATACACAATATATGTAGCTTTTACCAGCAATAAAATGTTTGTACAGGGCTGGCTTACAATTGTATAGACAACGTATCCTCTTTCTTCCTTTACAAACAGGGTGATGATTCTCGTCCACTTGAAGTAGACTACTACCCAGTGAACGGTACCTTTAACCTGCACTACTTCCCTTATTACGGAAAAAAGGCGCAGGTGGGTGCCCATGTACTTGAATTTGTTTTTCTTACAAGATGGAATATCTGGAACATTTCTGTCATCTTATGTGAACTGGACAGAAGTTTAATTTTAAGACTACATGTCTAAATTGGTAGTGTAAAATTAAAGTATCTTTTTTTTTTTTCTCCTAGCCCACTTACACTAATCCTCTGGTAGCTGTGAAACTTCTCAACATTACAAGGAATGAAGAACTTAAAATAGTGTGCAGAGTGGTTGGAACTGGAATTATCTCTGATAATGTTCATGATCCTTATGAAGGAAAAGTAGAATTTAGATTGAAAATAGAAGACTAAGCAGCAATAACAACAGAGACATTTCTGAAAAACGTGTGATGTAAGGAGTGACTTACCTATTATCACTTTCATTCATATTTATTTTCTTGCTGTGATTTCCATATAAATCTATTCAAATTACAGTGAAAGAAGACATTTTCTATGGAAAGATCATCCACGTAGCCAAAAGTCAAGATACCATTTCCAGCGCGTGAAGGAGATAGCAATTAACTTGATGTACATAGCTTACCGTTCCATGGCTACCGTATGCTGATACCTTCATGCAAATATTTGCATAAAACAAGTCTCTTCTCAGCTGAGCAGCTATGACTTCCAAGAAAACAAGTATAGTATCAAAACTTCATTTTCAGTAACATTTCAAACCGTAACAATAATTCATGTATAATACTAAATATTGGACATTGTAGAAATAATTACATAGCTAGAAAAAGAAATCAAGTCAATAGTTTGAAATACTAGCAGGTAATGACATTTCATTATGCATTGCAGCTCAATGTCTCATATAGAATGTATAAATCATAAAAGTATATTAAAACTATCTGTATCCTGATGCATTGTTTTTTTTACTATTCAGCCAAGTCAGATTTTTTTTTTTAGTGTGACAAATCAATGAGTGCAAAATAAGTTACTTGAAATCTGGCCTCCAGCTTACAGCTTTTATTGTATCACTTACAACTTCTGTATGTGTACAATTTAATAAAAAATGATCTGTTAGAATGTTACATCTAGTTACATCCAGGAGAATCGTGTTAATTTAACTATTAGAGTATCTACTTTGAGTAAGAATTGTTTTGAATTGCAATTATGAGTTTTGCTTACCTGAAAATATCTGGAAAATGAAGACGTAAAAGTAACAGTAAGTTGTTAAGTGCACTTAAAATTTGAGAAGTCTAATTCTATCACAAATGATGCAAAGACAGTAGGACTGCTGCAGTAGCACTGCACAGTATGTTTATTTTTGATGAAGGCCAGGATGCTTCAGCCAGAGAACAAACATTACACGGAAAAAGGAATCAGGACAAGAAATCGTTTTAAGCCTTCCTCGTCTTGCCATTCTAGAAAGTGGGAAGATGGGAGAGATAAACCTCAGTCACTACAGTAACATTCACATAGTCAGCTTATAGAAAGAATCCAGCCAGAGGGGAATATTCCCCTGCTTCAAAACCACAAAGAATATTTGAGCCTTTCGCAAAACATCTGAGCAGTCTACATTTCAGAAACAAGAAAACGTGTCCTCATTTATATTCTCCCCCTTAGCCTTTTATGTTTCAATTTTTACAGGAGGATTTTGCCTCTTTTACAGGAGACTAAATGAAAATCCACCCCATATCCTTGTTGGAACATAAATCTCCTCTTATGCATCTTTCCAAAGTTATTTGAAAGCTAATGAGATAATCAAGTCTTTTGATAACCAAAATAATAATTCATCCACAAAAGTAGTCCAAGGTTGTCTATATATGGAACGTTTAAATATCAGCAAGAAAAGAGAAAACTCTTCCTTTGGTCTTTCTAAAACAGGCAGATTCTCTGCTTGACTGTATCTGATTTAGCTCCTACACTGTGCATGTTTGAATGAGGGATGCAATGTCACAAGCTCGCATTGTAATTGTCACTACAGCACAAAATAGCAAGCTGCTGAACAAATTTCCCAAAGATTGGTATCTCAACAGCTGCAGCTTCAGAATTACCAGCCTACACCAACTTTCTAGAAAGGCTTCTGATGCAATAAGTACCTTGAAAAGAAAGACTGAAGTGTCCCAGGGCTCACCAAAAGATGATGTGTTCTGAGGTCAAGAGAACGGTATGATCCAGATACATCAGATCTGGTTCTTTAACTACAAACTTGAAGATTTCCATCCTGAATTTAGATTTTTCTTAAACTTTTAGCCATCCAAGATGATTCTCTTTCTTTACTGGGATTACAAATAACAATAATACAGAGGAAGGTTTGTAGCTAGTACAACCAAAGTAGAGCGGTCTGTGAAAGCTGTAAGCATAGTCATCAGGGTACAGTTCCAACATGGCCAGAATCCAAACATAAGCATGCTTACATAGTGTAACCAACAGCGCCTAAGTATTTTGTTACACTGTGATGGCACAGCCAAATACGATGTACCAGCATTTCACGTAGTGAGCAAGGTAACCATCACAGGGGCAAACAAAGACTCGTGTAGTTGCACTCCAGAGACACCCAAGTGACAGAAGCTGCAAGATAAAAAACAGAGACGAAGCTAAGCACCGGGGAATGCATCCTGCCTAATACGCAGGACAGATGCCTGGCAAAACCAAAACCAAGTTAAGCAGCACTGGTAGCCGTTGAAATCCCCCTTTTGGGAGGGGTGCAAGAAGCATAAAACGCTGTTAATGGCCAGGGAAAGGTGAAGACAGACACCTGTCTGCTTCCACTTCGACTGCTCTCAAGGAAGAGCTCTCAAGCCTGATCACTCTGACCTTACAGACTAACAAGGACCCCAGCCATCGACGCTAACTGCACAGCATCAGCTCTGCGGTACTCTATAGCCACTGCTAATTTATCATACAAGTGTTATAGAACAACTGTTTTTATATATGTAGCAACAATTATTGATAATGTGTAAGAACTAACCATTAGCATAAAGTGTGTTGTTAATGAATGAATTTAGTAAAGTTTTGTTTTGAAGTTTAAAATTGGCCTGATTTATCATTCTTTTCAACACTTCCCTTTGCAACAGTCTCCAGTTCCCTGATAGACACACGCACGCAGAGATTCGGTTGCAACATTAGAGATGCTTGATTAGATCCATCAATACAAACAGGAAAAAGCTGTCAGGCCATACAAGTTTTTCTTTGATTATGAAACAGATGCAGCGTATTTTGGAACTAAATGCACATGAAGAACAGATGCCTGACTTTATCTAGATGTTGATCAGCGAGGACATCTGACAGAAAAGGCAGTTAGTTCCCAGATCTCAGGCATTAACAGAAGGGATGATTGGGTCATTACCAGTGACAGGAAAAAGGACAGACAAACTATGCAGCTACGCAAGAGAGATTAGCTGAATGGAAAGGCACAGGGAAGATTGCAACCTGCCATGAAACTAGCATCATTGACTCCATGATTTCTCTCATCCAATAAATTTTCTTTTCCAGACGGGTCTCTTGAAGGTGTTATATAGATCTCTCGGTGCAGAGAGGACAGAAACATAGCAGTTGCTTTGAGAGATATTTCCCTATTGACAACTGTATCTATCCTTACAAATATCCATAAAACTGGTAAATCCAATAATTGAAGTGTACTGTACTAATGTGCCCTAGTTTTCCTTTATCACTCTTAACAGTAGAGCGCAGAATAATTTTGAATACAACTGCTTTGATGCTCAAAGGAGTTTTTCCTATGCTTATGTGACTACAGCAAATTCAAAAAAGTAGCAATTTTGAAAGGTATATATTAATAATTAAGTCTTTCCTTAACAGCCACACATGACGACTACGGTATCATTGTAATTGCACTTGAGAATTCCTTCTCTATCACGTCATTTGATATAAGCCAAATCTTGTATCGTTAAGAAACTTCAGGCAGAGATTGGTTCAGCATCGAATAAAGCTGTCTAGCCATGTGCTACTTTCAATAATTGGATGGAAAATGACAACTTAATCTTCTATGCTTGCAGAAAGAATATTTTACGCTTTGTATATATACCTCCTGCACAAGCTTCATTTCTTTCAGATAAAAAAACTGGAGCTTAGACAAGAATATGTTGTTTCATATAGAAACGTGTATGAAAACAGGTGCCTTTTTTCCCACTCAATTCACTTTGAAAAGTTCTCCTTCACTGGGAACAAGGACTGTGTTTCCTTTTCCCCTCCTGATTTTCAGTTTCCTTTTATTGATACCAGAGTGATAACTGATGCATTTCTTTGACTCATATTTATGCTGATGAAGGCGCAAGGGCTTTGTAAATTAAGCACTTCTCATTATGTTAAAAGCACAAGTAGGGCTCAGAATTCCCTAGTTAGGCTCCCATTTCATCTCTCTCACTTGCCCTAAAATGAGAAAGAACTGAATTCTGGAGGGATATTTGAGGTAATGTGCTTCACCATTCATTCCTATATGCGTGTGGTCTTACTGTCACCAATGTGAGAATTCTATTGTTTCAATTCAAAATATGTTCCAGGGGTTTAGTACCATCAACTAGATACCTAATTTTAATTTGCCTGATTTCAGATTCCAATCCTCAATTCTTTTGTCACCCTTCTCATTTCTTTGACATAATCACAGAATGGTTGAGGTTGGAAGGGACTGCTGGAGATCATCTAGTCCAATACCCCTGCTCAAAGCAGGGTCACCTAGAGCACGTTGCCCAGGATTGTGTCCAGGTAGCTTTTGGTATCTCCAAGGAAGGAAACTCCACAACCTCTCTGGGCAACCTGTGCCAGTGCTCACTCACCTTCGCAGTATAAAAGTTTTTCCTCAGGTTCAGACAGAACTTCCCGTGTTTCAGTTTGTGCCCGTTGCCTCTCGTCCCGTCACTGGGCACCACTGAAAAGAGTCTGGCCCCATCCTCTTTACACCCTCCCTTCAGATATTTAAACTCATTTATCAGATCCGCCCCCCCTCAGCCTTCTCTTCTCCAGGATGAACAGGCCCAGCTCTCTCAGCCTTTCCTCATAGCAGAGAGGCTCCACTCCATTAATCACCTCAGTAGCCCTTTGCTGGACTCGCTCCGGGAGCGCCATGTCTCTCTTAACAACAGGCCACGTGACGCCGGTTGGGGCCTCCCCGGGGTCTGAGGAGAGGGGCAGGATCCCCTTCCTCGACCTGCTGGTAACACTCTTCCTAACGCAGCCCAGGATACCGCTGGCCTTCCTGGCCACAAGGGCACATTGCTGGCTCAGTCCAGTTTTCAATCCACCTTGCTGTCCAGTCCTCTAGCCCATACACCATCAGCTTGCCTATGAGGATGTTATGGGATACAGCATCAAAAGCCTCACTGAAGTCAAGGCAGACAACATCCGCTGCT